ACCGCTGCAGGCAGCCTGGGGTGGGGTGGGGTGGGGGCCGTGCTCTGGCCTGCACTGCTTCCCCACCCCTACCCCTCCCGGGCTAGTCAATCTTCTCCACCTTCCCAATGATCTTCTCTTCGAAGATGGGCAAGACAGCCTCTTCCTCACGCACCTCTTCAAAGACCACACCGCAGTCAAACTCATCGCTCACTTTCTTGAAGTAATACCTGCCAGACAGGGAGGGAGAAGTCCCGGGGAATGAATGAATGAATGAATCCAGGGGGCGAGGGGAGACCCACACAGAAGACCTCAGCACGCCCGTCCCTGGCCGGGACACCCGAGGCTGCTGAAGACGGCCACGGGAGCCCCAAGGGACAAAGCCCCCCCCCCCGGCACTCCAAGCTCTGCCTGGCCTCTCCACACACTGAATTCCTCACCGGCCTCGGCAGGCTGCCCACACACCCCTTTCAGAGGCAATGCCTGGTCCGTACGGCCGTACTGAGTGTTGAAGACAAGCAGGCAGGCACAACGTCCCCCGCCCTCCTTGCACAGAAGCCTCAAGGCCAGAGGAGACCCAGAGGGGAGGGCAAGAAGGTGTCCCGCCTGCCGGGGCCCTCTGTGCAAAGCGCTCCCGGGAACCCAGCCCCACCCCGCCCCTCCCAGACTGCTGAACAGTCTTCTTTTAAAATAAATAATTAACGAGTTCCCAGCCCCACTGGGACGGGGGGGGGAGCACCACCTGCAGGCTCCCAGTGTGTGTGGGGGGGGCAGAGGAATGGTGGCAGGGGGCGGTCCACTTGATGACCCTCCCCCGCCCCCCTTGAGAAAGGGGCGGGACCCAAAAATCCCCTCTCAGAAAGAGACTCCTCCCCTCAACCTGTCCAAGCAGGAGAGGAGGGGTTTTGGCCCCAGAAGGTCGGGCGGTGGCGGGGGGGGGGGCAGCGCCCTGAGCATGGGGCAGCCCTGCCTCCCCTCAGACTCCTCCTGCCCGGGGAGGGGGGCAGCCGGCACAGTCAAGGTCCTGGGGCAAGCTGCAGTGACCCG